AAATACATCATATATGAGAAGGGTGTTTTGTATTGTGATAGTCAGAAAGCAGTTCACTTAACAAAGAATTCTATTTATCATGCAAGGATAAAGCACATACATGTTCGTCGTCATTTCATCATATCGACTTTGGAAGATGAAATCTAGACATTTGAGAAGATTTAGAGGAGTCCGAATTTTGGTGACATGTTGATGAAAATTGTTCCAATTAAGAAACTGAAGTTTTGTGCAAATTTAGTTGGACTTCTATTTTGAGGAATGAGGAGTTGTTGCCGTTGCTGATGAGTTCTTGATGGTAAATTAGTCTCCAAGTGAGAGATTGTTAAGTTGTGGAGTTTAATTATTGCTTCATCGCGAATCGACTTCCGTGATGAAGTTGTTGTGGGGGCTCGAACTTGGAGGGGTAGAGAGCAAAGTCCCACGAACTAAAATTTTAGTTAATGATTGTTTAGGAATTTGTATTCTTGTTAAATCTATGAAGAAATAGGAGTCCTTGTAAAATTCAGTTTTGCCGTAATTTATTTTAGAAATAGGGAGCAATCTTTAGGCTTTATGTATTATCATCTAATAGAGAGAAAGAGAGGTCAAAGGAGATATGATTGAAATTTTCTTTTGTAAACATTTTTTCATCATAGTGAATTACTGTACCTGTGGGAAATTATATAATTTTACATTCAGACGAACCTCTATAAATCTTGTATGTTTTTTATTATTTATTTTTCTTTTTTTAATTGATTGCTCTTAGTGAGATAGAATTATAATTTATAATTCTCAATACATATCACTAGGATTATTTTGGGGACTAAGTTTGCTCATAACAATATCATCACGAGCAATAACTTCATGTACAAAACAATACCGAATATCAACATGCTTCGTCTTTTCATGAAACATATGATCTTTTGTGAGGAAAATAATGCTCCAACTATTATAAAAGCCTGTAGTAATCTGCAATTCTTTACTGAATTTATCAAACAGTCCTTTTAGCCAAATGGCTTCCTTACAAGCCTCTATAATAGCCATATAGTTTATCTCAGTAGTAGACAATGCAACTGTAGTATGTAAAGTAGCTTTCAAACGATAGCATAACCACCAATAATAAAAACATACCCTGTAAGAGATCTTCTTTTATCAAGGTCTCCAACAAAATCAAAATCGACATATCCAATGACTCCATCTCTAGTTCTTCTAAAATGCAAACAAACATCGATAGATTTAAGAAACTCATCAGAATGTTAATATGCTCTGATACCATATAGAGAACACAAGATAGGGAGGATATTTTCTATTTATCTTTCTTTCAATATCATGAACAAGTATTTAAACTAATAAGTTACTAGAATGGAACATCCATAAATTTTGAACTACAACAAACTCTAGTCTATTATAATTTGAATGACACCAAATTCAAGTTGGTTGATCATTAGGCCGTGTGTAGCTTGGTTCTCTCAAAGGAACGGATACATTATTCAGTCAGTCATGAACAATGTATCACTATATTTAGAGTTCAAGAAATTTTTTATCTACGATAACACCACGATGGGACACCAAGTCCTTCATATCAAAATGACAAAAGTATGTGAAAGAAGAAATTCAACAATTAGGCGAAATTGAACGTTCAGTCTCCTACCGTCCATTGTATATTTGTTTACAAGATTTTTTTTTTTTTAGATCACGATGTTTCTTAGTTTTACATTTCGCCCTTGTTTGTCATCTATTTCCTCTCATTCTTTTCCATTATGTTTTCTACAGTACTCATTTTCAATCACACATTCTTCATTAAAATAATATTACACGTAAATAAAAAAAATTTCTTATTTTTTAATCACATTTCAACATCAATCACTATTACATAATACATTCTTCCCAAATAATGGGTGACAAACACACCCTTCATTACTTGGCCACTGGTACAATTCATATCTACTTTTGTATTGTTTGATTGATATTTTTTTCATGGAAAATATTTTTCTAGTTTTGGTCACATGATCATATGTTCCTTGAAAACAAGAAAAATATTTTCTTTAGTGAGAGTAGATTTTTATTTTCCAGACAATTCTCTCTCTCTCTCTCTCTCTCTCTCATCTACCTACCAATAAAAAATAAATAAGTATAACATTTTTTAGATTGAAAATAAAATTAATCAAATACATTTAATTGACAATTTCGATGCAAATAATTTATATGCAATTCAATTACTTGAAATAAATTTTCTTTCAATGTAAATTCTACACTTGCTATCAAACACATCTTAAAATAGAAGGGTGTGAAAAGACAACATTTCCTTTACGCTAAACAAAATAAAGATAATTTAAATTAGGATGTGGGTTTGGGGATGTGCAATGTTTGAGGGAAGAGGCTCATAATTTTTCTCCTTTTTTTTTTTAATCTTAAACTTTTAATTTTGAATTGTATATTTCTTGTTTATTTAGTGTGAGGGGAGCGTTATCTTTTCATGCCCTTCTACCTGGCTTTTGGATGGAAATTATCAGTAGGGATGATTTGAATCAATTAATGAAAAAAAAAAATTAATGTTAAGAAAAAAGTTTGGAGAGAGAGAGAGAGAGACGAAACTATAGGCAAAGGTTGTGTTGAAAAGTACAATTCGGTCCTATACAATATATTCATAAACCAATTTTCATCATGGGGTAACTTAATTTTCATGATCGAGACAAAATGGAAATACATGTACCAGTGAGGATGAACATGGTCCAATTCGATCTTACTTTATAATTTGATTTAATTTAATTCGAATGAGAACCAAATCAAATCGAGTACCTATAACTATTCTATAAATATAATCAAACATAACAACGTCAAAATTGAAGCAAAACCGAGTAGTTTTTATTCGACCGATTGCTTTTATAGGCAAAACTGAAAATCAACCAGAACTATTTAGTTCTAAAAACCATAACCACACATTTAAAATTTTCGGAAACCGAACACAATTAACTAATTTGGTCTGCATTTAGATGATTCCAAATAAAAATGTCCAACTTTTGATTTAAAAATAAATAAATAAAAAGATCAAAATTTCTTGTAGTTTATTTTTCTTGTCATAACAGCCATAGAATCATTTAGCGCGGCATTTGGGAGCTCTCTACAAGAATCGAGTTTAAGCAGTGTTCTAAAATACTCAACTAGCCAAATTTAACTCACCGATAGTCCCAGACTCCATCGAGTTTGTCCCAAATTAAAGGATTTATCCTTCTCCATCTTGTTTCTGTGCCCAATTTATGTTCCAAATTTTTTACGACTTTCAATTCGTCGCCAATAAAATTAGGCTAGTTTTAGACCATATTCAAATTTAATCTAATGGTAGATATTAATTACTAGTGTAGTATTTAAGATTTCAAGAATTATTATTATTATTTTTATTGAAAATTTGAAAAGTATGTATAAAGTTCTATAAATTTTCAAGTATGCATTATTTATTTATTGATCTAAATAATGAAATAATATTAAAAATAATAGAACACTTTATTACACCACGGTTGATCACGCCTAGGCTTGTAATGACCTTAACACATATCACTTCTTGTGCCTTTTAGACCTTTTCAATTGTGTATAAATTTAATTTCTTTAACTTATATCTTAAACGGAATAGAGAAAATTCATAATTTTCACATGTTGTGTCAAGCAAGAGCTTAATCTTGACGTCGACCTATCAAAATATTTGATCATGTGACTGCACACATTCCACATGTATAAAGAAAGCAGAGCATAAAATTGCCCCCCGGGGTACTTTTCCACTGGCAAAGGAAGGGTTCTCTCAAGGCTGGCAGTTCAGAGGTCGTGGGTTCGATTCGTGAGGCTCTTGGAAGGCAAGGCATATACTGGAAAGCAAGATTTATCCTGAAAGGTAGGAATGTCTTGAAAGGCAAGGCGCAACGTGAATTGGCTCACTAGGCACTTTGACAGTTCAGTTGGAGAGACGCTTAGACCCTGATTAATAGGAGACACATCCTGCGATTTAATTGGTCTGTGTGAAGAGAGGTCGGATCACAGACCTAAGGAATAGTCTCCGAAGGCGGACACTTTGATTTAAAAATTAAATAAAAAGGGGGAGGGAGCATAATATACTGAGTACTTAGACGTCTTCATTTTAACCTAACTTCAAAATCTTTTATTCGTTGTCATACCAACATTGTTATAATTTAAATTCCTCCTCTTTTTGAGTACATTTTCCACAAACCAACAAACAAAAATTAAGTTGTTTGAGCCCCTCTCCGGGAGACTAAATTTTGTAATAGTAATTTTTCAAAAAACATGTTTACTTTTAAGGATTTTATTTTTTTAATTTTCGTGTAAAATTATTTTATTGTGAGAATGAATTATTGAAATGAATTCCCAAAAAAAATAAAAATAAATAAATAAATAAAATAAAATTATGTAATGATGCTCAAGCAGTAGCTCAATTTCACCATGATTGAAAATATTCTCGGTCATCAAGATGTGATCAGGTCGATCATATGCATGTTCGATTGCCCAAACAAGAGCATGATCTCAATAATTATTCAGAAGTCCAATCACAATTGAGCAAGTATGATTTGCAAATACCATTTCGAAACAGCACAAGCAGATGAGAACATAAACAAATCAACCTGCAAAAAGTCGAATTAATTTGATCAATGGTCGCTGAACTTTGCTACATGCTATTACTTGCTCATTGAAATTTAAAAATTTATTCTTTGCCCACTAAACTTTGTTATAGGTTATTATTTATTCACTGAAATTTAAAATGTTTCTAGTTGCTCACCTAAATTTGAACAAAGTTACCTATCAATCACTCATATTACTATCAGCGTTATCTATAGCAAAGTTCAGTTTTGGGGAGCAATTAATAATCTATAGAAAAATTCAGTAAGTAAAGAGTAACTTTGCAAATAATAACCTATAGCAAAGTTCCGTGACAAGTAATAATTTAACTCCACAAAGTCGCTGCAATAACCGATACAAGAACAAGCGCAAACTTAAAGAACTGAACACACACGGCAATATGAGAAAATTATCAAATATGATGATTCTTGGCCTCGCCTCAAAAAAAAAAACTTGTAACATGGCATAATTTATACAGTCACGTCGCAATATAAACTATCCCGACTTTTATCATGTTTACACCCTTAGAAATTTTACCGTCATATAATTCCACTGCGCGGGCATCAGGAGCATTTGACCTTTGAGCCTCAGCTTACTAGACTCTATGTATAAACTTAGAACTACACAATGTACAAGTTTTTAATACAGGAAACTTCTTTATTTGCAATTAGCTCGCACCTTCATGAAAGATAGGTACAAGACAGAGCAGCAAAGTTGGAAGAAGAGGACGAGAGGTAGCTCAAACTAGCCTCAGTTAGCTGTACAACTACTTCCTTTCCTACAGCATCTAAGCGGGATATGGGGACTGAGCAGCGATTCTCCTCTCTGCAAGAAAATGAAAATAAATGGGTAACTTGAGGTAAACTCTGCAGATGGTGGTAAGAGTGTACAATGGGGAAAACTTTTTATCAATAGGGTGTGAAAGATTTTTTAATTCAGATTCTTATTTTAATATCAAATACAAAAATTTAAAATACATTGCTAATATATTTTTCTGTAAAAATAAAAAAATTAACAATATTTAAAAGAATAATGTAATAAAGCCCCCATTTGGCCCCCATTACGTGGCAATTATAATTTTTGGAATAGTATTTTTTTGGAAATTGTGTGGTCGAAAAAGATGTAAAAGTTTTCGATTTACATGTGATATTATTTTATGACAGATTGTGTTGCTAAAAATAAGAGAGAAGAATACATTTTTTTGATAATGGGGGCCAACAGGCAAAATGGTAAACATGTACCAAAGTCTCTATGTCCTTTTTGAAGAAATGGCAAAAGCATTCGCCATTCACAAAGTGTTCCTCATTCTGAGAACTTTCTAGTGTTAAGCAAATATCAGTTCCTTGAAGTGGGAAGAGGTAATTAAGGATTCAAACTTAACCTGAAACGCCAAAAGGCTTGTGAATTAAAATTGCCAAAGTAATCAACATGGTAACAATTGCTTACCACCAGCAGTGACAAGTTTCTCTACTCGAGCTACGATATGTTTCCCATATGTGTACTTCTTCAGTGCATTCAAATGAACTTTTATTCTTGAGAGGATCAGTTCACGCTGCTGATCGCTACAAGTTTCAAGCACTTTCTGTACAACGTAATTAGCAAATTGATCTTTCATCATAGCCTGGAAACAAGAGAAGGTTATAATAAGAAGGAAATAAGTCATAGAGTAGATAGAATATAACTTGGGGAAATAATCAATAATTTCACAGATTTTACAGTGGCTACAGGAGGAAAATACAGAATGGGGACCTCAAACTTGTATATAATCTCTTGTGATGCACAATCAAGATGAACATTCTCAATTATCCCATTAATATTATCTGCTGCCACCAATCCCTCTTTACATAATTATACTATGCAAACATGACTGGCAAGATTTGAAATTCATCCGATAACTTTCTCAGATGTGCAGTACAAACTAAGTATTTCAATAATAGCATCAAAATAGGATCTCCTATTCAAAATCTACATTTATTTAAAAATTCAGAAGTAAAGTCCCTGTCTAGTAGAGAGAGAACGGGAGAGGAGGGAAGTCATCATAATTTCCAAATCACTTATTTGATCCCTGATGAGATGCAAAAGGAAAAGAAACAAAAGAAATGTTCATTTTCCATTCCACCCTCACTTGCATGAACGGAGGAAATAGAAGACATGATGGCAAGGAATTTGAAAGAGTTATAGCCTACCACAATGAAAAAAATCCAGACCTAAAATCATTATTGACTTCTCTGGATTCATTTGGCTAACAATGTTTACATGCGTACACACATAAGATGTTGCGAAACAAGACATATACAACTAAAATGAATTTCTTAGGTTTCACCAGGCATTCCAAACAAGAGTCTTTCAGCTTTATTCCCTCCGGCTTTCTCTGTCAATCGAGGAAAGAGTTTTTCTTCCGTTCCCTTTTTCTCTCCCCATCCTTTCACCCTTCTCCGTGGAAAATAAATAAGCATTTCTTATACACCCCGCCAACATATTAACCATAAATTTCAATTTCATGAAATCCCAAGCATTATTTAACAATGTAAAATATGTATGTAACACAGTGAATTTGAAAGATCATAATGCAACAAGGGTGAAATTCCCATCCTGTATGGAGAGCTGGACGAATCCCTTGAGGATTAGAAGACAATTTGAATCATCTTAAAAGACACATGCAGGGCTTACAATTGCAATAAAGATTTTCAAACTCCAACGATGTTCCTTCCAATTAATTTAAGATGAAGTTAAAAAATCAAAGTTCAGCTTGTCATGTATACATGATAAGAGCCCCCATCAGAGCCCAGTACGGTTAAATTCAACACCTTACTTCTTCGCTAATTTTCTAAGGTACTAGAATTTTGCCTAGAGCTTATACACAGATAGTAACACAAGTCTTTAGAATTTAGACCACCTGCAGGCTGCAGGAAATCAATTTTTTTTTCCACGTTCGTTCTTTTGGGTTATCATCAGGAATGTAGTTTGGATTACAAAGAGGAACTGTACATAAATAAAATATTCTCCAGGTCCATTTCCCACATTCTCTTTAGATACCGAGATGACTCTGGATTTGATGGTGGTGGTGGGGTGTTTGTGTGCAAGGGGGTATAAGCTTGACGGGTAAACGATGGACCCAATCGTCAACTCACAGGTAAATCCCAAACTTCAAAGCCACAATCAACCTTAACATGATTTCTAGAAGAAAAAAAAAAATAACTACAAAATTCTGAGCAGATTTTTTACGCAGAGTAACGAACCTGAAGGGGCTCATTCTCATCAGTTGTTCCAAGCATCTCGTTTACCAAGAGTTGATGTTCACTTGGATCACCAAAAGCTAAACACTTCTCCACAACATTAGAAGCAAACTTCTGCTGGCTCATTTGAACTATATTTCCAGCTAATTCTTGAATTATTGCAGTACGCTCATTAGGTTTTCCATGCTCCAGTACATGCTATCACAAGGAAACTTAAAAACAGTTACGAATAGCTTTAACAATTAGACAAAAATTGTGTCAAAAGTCTCCTATTTAACACATTTTTATTAAGAAAAAGTTTACCCATGGAACGAATATGAGACATTCATTATAAAATAAAACGAAATTTGCACTTTTCGTTTTCAACCTCTGCACAATGTAAAGAATCTACTGACAACATTTTTTTAGCATAATCCACCCCAACCTTCCAGTTATGTAGCAAAACTCGCCCGTCCTTCCATTTTTGACCATTATATGCCACTTTAAATAATAAAATAAAACAGCAAAAAAATGATAGCTGCTGTGGCAAGGTTTGGCCGGTTTTCAAAATCGCAAAGGAAGTCCCAACGTTTCAAAAACTACAAACAAATCCCATTTAAAAAATTAAGTAAATATTAACAGAAAAAAAAAAATAAAAAAAGTAAAAATTTCGTCTTCCTCACCCACTCACGGCTAAACACCATTTCCACAAATGCAATCAATAGGCAGCAGCGGCACCACCACCATCTTTATCCATAAGAGATACATGTACATATACACTCATTTGTAAATGAATATGCATACACACACATATATAGAGAAGTGAGATTAGCATGCTCCTACCTTTTTGTGCCATTTGTTTGTCTTCGGGATTGGGTAATGAGAAGAAAAGATTATTTGTAATGTAAATTGAAATGGTTGATGATGGAAGATTTCTACAATCCCGTAGCACACAATAACACGAGAGGCCAAATCTTTATAAAAGATACGTGGCTTTAAAAGCCCCTGAATTTTGTCGGATTCACACAAAGTTGTATTCAGTCACTTCACATTCATTCACTCCATCAATTTTTCAATTTAATACTTCCTTTGGCATTTTAATGAAGAGTAGGTAAAGAATTGCTTCAATTGGATCATAACATTAACTAGTTTTTGTTGCAAAGAAGAAGGCCCATGGAATATGCCAAGATGCTTGTTCATTATTTACTTTGGTTAATTGAATGACTACTGCGCTTCTCAAACTCACTGGTAGTGGTGGCTTTGTCTACTGAAGCCAATGTGACGGAGCAGGTCGTACAACAACAGGAAGAGGACACGTAATGTTTAGTAAAGAACATTTTTTTATTGTTTAAATTATGTGTATTTGGGAGATTATATATAGGTTTTGCTTAATTTTTCTAGTTTATGTTTCTGCTTCTGAAGATTTCATAGTTAAAGCTCATAATTTGTGCATGCCAGTGTTTTCCTTATATGGCTTGTGTCTAGGGTAGTGCTGGTGCCGCTAATGCTGTTGCCAGTGGCAAAATTGCATTTGTGGAGGTGGTGTCTAGCGATGGAGTGGTAATGGTTAATTGGGGAGATGAAATGCTTAATTTTTCTAAATTCCATTTTTTTAATTTGTGTTAATGGGTATTTAATTATTTTAAGTAGGAATTATTTGTCCTTTTTTAAAGTTATGGAACTCTCTTTGTAATTTTTCTTATTTTTGCACTTTTATTGCTTTATTTTATTTTTGTTTATTTAAAGAGGGCAAATCCATCATTTAATGGCCAAATGAAAGGAAGAGTCAGCTTTGCTTTGTAACTGAAAGGTAGGGAATGAATTATGCTAAAATCAAGTTCATGATACATTTGTTACATTTCACCAAGGTTGAGGATGAAAACTGCAAAAGTCTCTAAACTAAAAGAAACGCATATCAGCCAAAAAAAATCATGCTTCTAATAACAAGCATAACCCCTTCATAAAACTTCATAATAGCAAAAGCATTGACAAAATAAAATTCACTTCAAATCAATCCACACGATTCCTTAATATAGTCAGATAAATAATGTTAGAAGCCTGCACTATAGGCCCCGTTTGGTATCCAGTTTTGTAAGAATGAAAATTTTGCGTTACGTGACCCACACAAGAGATAAAAAGTCAAATACAATGGCTTGATGTGATGGATAACAGTCATATTTTTCATTTTTATGACCAAAGAATGGAATCAAACGGGGGCATAATGAGCCATACTGAAGACTATACAAACCTGAATGACATAATTGCCATACTGATCCTGTGCCAACATGCTTACAGACCCCAGAATCTCTTCCATCACTTTGCTCTGGGTTTTTGGGTCCATACAGTGTTCAAGTACTCTCTGCCACATTGTAAGCATTTACAGAATTTAGCACCTTAAAAACAAATGGCCTGGAACTTAGAAATTCAAACTAAGAACAACTTTCTCTTACCTGTATTACACGGCAACCATATGGATGAGTGGAGAGAGTCACGACTTGGTCAAAAAATGTTGAGATAATGAACTGAATATGCTCCTCCGGTACACATTCAATGCATTTTTGTATCACATGGTTCCCATTTTGATCACGAACGCAACGCGTGATACGACCATCAAGTTCTTCTACCATTTTGATCTTCTGATCTAAATCAACAACTTCTATTGCCTGAATTATCAAATGAAGTCCATTAGATATTCGATACCAGATTTTCAATTAGTTGTAGTATTGTTACAACATACAAATATATATAAACAACATATTGAAATGAAGGATAAAGTAAAAAAACATATAGCATCCTCAGTACTACATGTCGTGGATAGGATTTATGCATGATCCTCAATATGGCATATACAAGAACATCAACAAAGAATTTCGTGCAAAGCAGTTACCTTTTGAATCACCCGACAACCATACATTTGGAGAGTCAGTGTAAGTACATGTCCAAAAAGTTCACTAGCCAACTCTCTTCTCTGAGATGCCATTCCATGTTCAAAAAACTGAAAAGACCAAACTTAGCACTAGTGTATGAACCAATAGACTCCAAAGCTCAGGATATATGTGTACACATATATAATCATAAATTGACTGAAGAAAGGACCAAAGATTATCGGTACCTTCTGGATTACATAATTTCCAAACACATCCGTCATCAAAGTAAGAGCCTGAGGAAAAATTTCCTGAAAAACCATGTTCTTCTCCTCTACTGTGGCAGTCTCAAGTTTTTGTTGAATGAATCGGCTTCCATATTGATCCGCACTGCACACAGGTATAAAGACTAAATAAAATATATTTCAACAAGCATAACTGGTAAGGTAGGCTAATTTGAGCAAGACATACCTGAACTCGACAACATGACCAGCAATGTCAGAAAGTTCAAAAAATTTGGTTTTATTACTCTTAAACTCCTCCAGCAGAGATGAAGCAAAGGTGTTCTCCATGTAAGGTCTCATGACTCCCCCAGCTATGTTTCTCATCCCACCAGGGTATCTCATGTTGAATTCACCATGCCCCATGGGGCTGCCAGGCCCCATAGGTGAATTTGGAAGTGCAGGATTTGCTAGGGGACTTCCAGGATATGACAAGCCAACGCCAAACGCAGGATTGCCGTAGTAACCATGAGGACTAGAATAACTATTCTTGCTACCCAAGTTCACACCATACTGTGATTTCTGTGGAGATAACAGAGAACCAAGATAAGCTTTCTGAAGTAAGCCCATGTACGAATTACCCAAGTAGTTCATATCAACAGAAGGATCGTTAGGAGCTGCAACCTGTGATGCAGCATTCATGTACTGAAGATACAAAGGGTCAACAAGAGGTGCCTGCAACATATTCGTTGACATCTGATTTCCCATCCGACTGAGGTTCTGTTCATAGGCAACAGCACCTAGATTTGATCCCCCCAACATCATAGAGTCCATCCCTGGTACAGCCATAGCAGATGCAGCAACAGCGTTCTCAAACAAAGGAGGCAAATTCGAATTGCCAAGTTGGCTTGATATTGGACTTGTGGGGTAGCCACTTAAACCATAACTAGAGAACGATAGATTTGGACTATATAAGTGCTGATTTGGACTATGTGGACTATGTGAATGCTGATATTGAGAAAATACGCCACCCCCACCATTAATGGCAGAGATTGAAGATCCTTTCAGGTATGAGCTATTAGAAGGAACAGTTTTGCGAAGCTCAGAAGGAAGGGAAGAGTTGCTAAGATCTGAGCCACCGCCATTGCTTACACCAGATTCAGAAACCATCATATTTAACGACTGGGAAACGTAAGGCATATTGAACTGCCCAGCATCAGATTTCTTAATGTATGTTTGGTGATTTGTGTTATTCTGACCACCTGGAAAATTGAATAGATAATTCTTATGGTCATCAACGCCCTGTTCAATCTGAGATTGCAAATGATTCTCCTCATGCATAACACCATTTGAAATATTCAAGCCTGACAAAGAAGCTGCAAGATCTGTAGACTCATTTGTGTGAGATGAAACGCCATTGAAGGAGTTGGGACTGTTAACATTTCTCTTCCCTGAAGCACCCATCCTGCCTCCTCCAATGGGAGTAGGACAAGGACTAGGAACCCGTGCAATATGTTGAGGATCAGGAGTCGAGCTTCTTGACAAGGAAGCACCCAGTGCAGCAGCATAAGAATATGATGCAGGTGGTCCAACATGTTGCGTAGCAGATGAGCCCTGGATATTGGAAGTAGAGCGTATAGGGTCTGGAGATGTCAAATCATGGAGTGCATGAGCCAGCTCTGTCTTAGCCAAACTCATAGGATCAGCATTCTCATTAAAAGCATTTCGACTTGCTGGGCGTGAAGGATGTGTAGATATAGGATTAGCATGGTTCATGTCATCCTGCACAGATATCAAGTGATAGGATGAATCACAAAGGACATGGGGAAAACTATTTCCATGTTGCGACAGGGGAATAACAGAGTTCAGAATATCAGAACTGTGAGCTAAAGCAACTTCCTACCAACAGAGCATTCTTGGTGGTGGGGAAGGCAACTAGATCATACAGAAGATCACATGGAGGGAAAAAAGGGGTCGTAAATACTATTTTAATGCTCTTCAACCATAAAGACAATACAATAAAAAACAACAAAAAATGACCAAACGCACCAAATGCTTAACTTGAAGTAGCAAGGAATCACATAGGAAAAAAGTTCCTGATTTTCTTTTCTTGATACATATGAAACAGAAAATTTAACTGCGTAATCATTAGCTGAGTTTCAAGACAAGATCCTAATATATATCAACTTGAAAAGCCTAAAAAATAGTTTACATCAATCAGGGTTGAAGACTTCATCCATGAAGATGCAAATTATAACATTAAGTTCAGATCACATTAAGGGAATTTCTGCGACTGATAGGACCAGCTAGACAGAAAAATACAGTTGCAGAAACGAAAAATAGATATGATCACATCCATGTTGCCATTGACAAACACACTAGATCACCAATCATGCAATAAAACTGGTTCAACAAATTCACATAGAAAATTTTAAATGAAAAAAGCATATGATGGTCAATGACTTAAAAAAATTGTATGTCCATTTTCACGCAGCAATTATTTTGTAGTCAGACAGCAAATATAGTAGGAAACAAAGAGATAAGGGGACTCTTACCTAATTCTACACTGCAATCAAAACTACTATTTTTCCAAAAGTAATATTAACTACCAATGAACAAAGTTATAACTTCAATAAATTATCAGTGATCAACAGATGTAATGTAGAAACTTAAATTTAAGCCTATTATAAAATGCTTTCCAAAACGTAGATAACTACCAAATGTACAAAAGGCGGGGCGAGGGAGGCCTATTCTCATATAAACAAACATCTCATGTAAACTAAAGCAGCAAAATGGATATATCAAATTTGTCAATAAGCAGTTTAATACTTGCATAGAAACGATAATTTATAAATAAACATACATACTTTAAACATAGAAAAGAACAGAGCCAAAAAAAACGAATTAAAGAGTCACATATTTGAAAGTTTAGCATAATCAACAGATATAAGATAGAAAAAGGTCGGTGATCTTCAGCATCGACAACAATGTTGCAATCTCAGAAAAGAAAGGATGTGCCCAATAAATTCTTAATAAATCATCAAAGCATATTCACCTGAAATATTTCAGCTAGACTCTTCTGCTTACTGCCTAGTCCCAGTCCAGGCAAACCAATGAGTCCATCACCACCCCATTGCACAGAACCCTGCACTTTATCAGCCTGATTATCAGTCTCCTGATTCTTCGAATTGAACCCTGGTGGCATTGAAAAAAGTGATGTCCCCCCATCACCACCATCACTCTGATTATTCACCTTCCTCCTATCCCCGATTGCAGAATTCCCTCCTTGCAGTCTCTGTGCAAACCGCCAATCCTCCCTTGACATTAAAGGGGGCGGTAGCCTTGGGTTCAAATTGACGTTTGAATAATAGTAAGAGGAATATGCAGGATCAGACCTAAGATCTTCGTCAGAAATAAACCCGTTCCCATTTTTGTTCGTAATAAACTCAGCAAAGGCTGAGCCACCACTGTTGCCGCCGCCACCGTGGTTGAACAACCCACCCACAGCATTCAGGGAACCCTCAACAGTAGGTGGAGCAGACCCGCTCCTGTACAAATTCAGCTCCTTCTCTAGATCATCAGCCTCCTGGCTCCGCTGTTCACGAAGCAGCAATCCTATGTCCTTCTCCAACTCATCTCCAAAAGAATTTTCATTGTTTCTGAGCGTCGGCCTCCTACTCAATTCAGATAACATTTTGTTTCACAAACCCAAAATCCCACAATTACTTACTCAGTCATTCCACAAAGAAATATAAATTAACAATACCAACAGCCACAAACCCTAAAAAATTCATAAAGACCAAGACTTTAGTAATAAAAAACCAACCATCCTAGGATCAAAAACCTAAAAATTAAAGCTTTAACCTCAAACCTCCAGGATCAACCACAAAATGTATTCTTTCCCATTGAATTTCAATAAAATAGAAAAAAGGGAAAAAAATGTAAGTGGGCAAAGATGTGAGCGAGAGAGAGAGCAGGTAGCAGAGAGAGGTTTATAATTTTTTTCCTTCAATTATATCCTAGTAAATCATCCTGGCGGCGAATTGTTCTTACACAGAACCCCTTTAGGGTTTTGTTTTTCAATCACTGCTATGCAGGAATAAATTGATAAAAACTGTGACTGGAAGTTAGGCCAAGGAATTAAGTTGTAGCAGAGAGAGGTTTATAATTTTTTTCGTTCAATTATATCCTAGTAAATCATCCTGGCGGCGAATTGTTCTTACACAGAACCCCTTTAGGGTTTTGTTTTTCAATCACTGCTATGCAGGAATAAATTGATAAAAACTGTGACTGGAAGTTAGGCCAAGGAATTAAGTTGTTTAATTTATGTAATTCTATTATGCCCTTTTGAGTTTCCATAGATTTTTCACTTTCTTCATGTTCATTTTTAATCACATATTTTTTAAATGAAATAATTTATATATAAATTTAATTTTTTTTTATAGTATGTTTGATGCCATTTTTTGCACAAAAAAAATGAAAAGGTGATTTGATTAAAAATGTATAATTAAAAAAATAGAAAGATGCTACAATGACAAAAAAATGGTTAGCATACAACCTGATTGACACTTACACAATAGGGGGCCCCCTTTTTTTTGAATTTTTAATTCAAGCGAGGCCCACAGACATGTGAGAGGTGCTCATCGCCTTTGTCAACCATTTTCTATCATCGAGGCTTAATTCTAAAAACTAAGAAAAAATTTTGAATTTGCTTGTAATATTATCTTATTGAAGTACATGTGATTTGAAGAGAAGATAGAAAAATATATATTAAAAAGATGGGAATTAGATAAGGCATTACTTTCTAATCATACATTTTTCAAAAAAATCAATATTTTGCACCTGTTTAAGCCATATTATTTTTATGAGAATACATTTTTGAATAGTGTATTGATAGAAAATGTGTGGTTAAAAAAGAAGAAAAATTTTGAATTTGCGTATAATACTATTTTATTGAAGAATACGTGGTTGAAATAATATCAAATCACTGGTTAAAAATATATTTTTTGAAAGAATGTGGGTCAAACAAAGCCTATAAAACATATTATTTCAGCAAAAAGGGGATCAAACATGCCCTATTAGTAGATAATGCGAACTTATATGGAAAGTGTATAAGGCACTAATTTACATAGTGATAGATTTGATAAGCTATTGTTTGGTGAGGATTAAAATTAGATTTTTAGTGAATTTTGATAAAAATTGATGAAATATATGATTAAAAAGTTGTGAGTCTCATGAAATGTGTGATTAAAATTAATTGTTGACTTTGACTGAAATTAAAATTATTTTAATTTCTATTAAATAGGGGCTAAGTGAAAAAATTCGATGATCTTGATTTTTACTGTTGAAATCAATAGGTTTATCAAGCCTCGTTTTGGAAAGAAAAAATTTAATTTATAAATAGTAAAAATGAGCAGTGAACAAGTCAATATAGTACTTTTAAATTTAAAAAAATAATAATAATGGTTAAAATTTAAAAATAGACATTGATCAAAATTGTGAAACGGTTGTTTAGTGGAAAATAGAAAAGAAAATATTAATTCTATAGAAAATGATGATGGATGTAGGGTGAGAAAGAAAAAGGATTACAGAGAGAAAAATATTATGATGAGTAGAGGAAGAATCTCTGCACGCGACTTTTACACTATGGATACGGAATTTGGTAATTGAGTAGATGCTGCTAAACTGCCCTTATGATGGTGAAATATCCAAACTGTCCCTAATCACAAAAATACTTATTTTGGAAAAGGGTTAAGATGTTTCGACAAGGCCATGTCCGAATTGGTGCTCCCTCCAATAGGAGGGTGCCAATGGCCCTGTCCGTCCAACAAGGGGATCCAATTCAGCCCCCTAGACGAATAGGGCCAACGTGGCCCTATCCGTACAGCAAAATCCTTCAGAAAAATATATTTTCTTATTTTCAGTTGGATTATTTTATTTTAGAATAATATTACTTGTATATAAGAAAGTTACATAACGATTTATATTGTCAAAAAGAGAGTAGTTGAAATTTTTTAATTGGTTGAAAAAATTCTGACACACAAACATATAACACAACCGTTTATTTAATGTGGCAACACAATATACAATTCTAGCATGTGAATGGATTTTTTTGTGATTACTAAACATTTTTTTTAGAGCACTTTCGGTTAAAGTTTAAAAAACATTTTTTTAAAGTTATTTTTGTCTCTAATATATTTGGATAATTTTTTTTTTTCATACAAAAAGAGATTACTTTTTTATTTTGCTATTGTCACAATATTTAAGAATTAAGATTATCGTCTCTCGAGAAATAAATTTTAAATTGAATTGTATTAACTCGTCATCAAATTTGAATGTATGTGATAAAAGAAATTTAGATTAGTTATTCTAAATTAATTTACTAATTATCTTAAATTACGTATTATTGAAATGTGTTAAAATTTCGAATTCGAATGTACATAATAAAAGAGGTTAATTTTAGTTATTCTAAATCAATGTACTAATTATCTAAAATTAAGTATGACTAAAATATGGGATGTAAGTGTTGGAATTTCGAATCCACCTATTATTATCCTATGTTCAAATCTTAAATATGTAATTTAGTTTCATTCAAACATTTTTGACAATCAATAATCCTACTTTATTCAACTTTTTTTTCTGAGACAAGTTAGTACTATTCTAGGCACAAGCCGATCATATTTCTATTCTAAATTTATATGAATGGAACGCATTCTAGGATCTAAAACCTCATTATTCAACTTTTTTTTCCGAGACAAGTTAGTACTATTCTAGGCACAAGCCGATCATATTTCTATTCTAAATTTATATGAATGAAACGCATTCTAGGATCTAAAACCTCATTATTCAACTTTTTTTTCCGAGACAAGTTAGTACTATTCTAGGCATGAGCCGGTCATATTTCTATTCTAAATTTATATGAATGGAACGCATTCTAGGATCTAAAACCTCAATAACTTTTGGGGGCCAAATACCTCCGATCTCTACAATTGGTGCTAAAAAAGAATGAGCAGAAGCCACACACACACACACAAAGAGCAAAAAAGAACATAATATCCGATACAATAAAAAGAATAAAACCATTTCGATTATCTAAATGACAACACATTTAATTACACAATTATCTAAGTGATTGCACACGTGATATATGTCATTCCTAACATTTATTGCATGTGTGTCAATCATGCGGTGTTCTACTTAAATGTGATTCTCTCAATACTATAACAAGTAGCTAATTATCTAAATGGTGTACAAGCATTTAAATAAAACAAGTATGCATAATTAATCAAAAATTACTAAACTACTTATCTTTGAATTAAAAATAAATAAATAAATGGTTCATCTTCATCCAACACAAATTAATCTAGCTTAACACGTTTCTAAAGGTAAAACAATAGCAGGAGTAAAAAAGTTATCACCCAGAATTTAGAAACACGGGAAAGAGATGTTATGGTCTAATTTTTTGGTCTTGATCTTCAACCCCAAGTTTTAATTCTTCAATTTTTCAATATTTCTTGATTCAATCAACAAGCTAAATTTGTTCTCCTCTCCAACTTATATTGAATTGACCCCCCATTGAATAATTTTATGATATGGACGTGATTTGAGAGGAGAGAGATCCCTCATGTGTGATTATATCCCTCGAAAATTAGTTTAAGATCACGTCGAGGTTGGGTTCCAAACATAGTTTTGATTGAAAAAGAAAATTGGCCTGTTAGTCGAAACTTTGCTCCATGCCAATATGGAGATAAAAGCTTTGCGCACATGTCATCTGTAGTTTTGGGCGGGGTGTGCATGCCAATGTGGCGGCCATGCGCTCCACCTTCATTTTTCAGAAATTGTGTTCTAATCCTTGCTTTTGATCCTTTATTCTCTCAAGTCATTTTCTCGTGCAATTTTCATCATTTAGCTTTAACTTTCATCTAAGGATGGCAATTCGAACTATCAAAATCAAAAATCGTGATTAACCAAACAAAATGGGGGGAAAATCGAACAAATGACATAATGTGGTGAATATGGTATTTGATTTTAATGACCTGGTTCGAGTCAGGTTGGGCGAGTATGGTATTTACACCGTTGTCCCGCCCCGAACTGATTAATAGTTAAAAAAATAATTAGGCAATTGACCTTTCAATTATTCATTCTATGATAATCTGTTTAGCCCAAAATTTCTGGCCTATTACCAACCTGTTAAGTCCAATAAGACTATTAACCTAACCCAGTTACCTACTAACCCTACGACAAAGAAATTGGAAAATTGGAATCAAATTCAACATTCCGTCTACACTCTGAGTCTCTACTGCCCCCAATTTTTTCTTCTCCACACCATGTTCTTTAACACTTGCCATGTCATCCCCAAATAGGAGGGTATTTTTCTTATCGACAGCATCAATCTTTTCTTGATTATTCATATCCCAAGAAAATAAGCTCTTGTTTGAGCCACATTATTTTCATAAGAATGTATTTTTGAATAGTATATTGATAGGAAATGTATGATTAAAAAATAAGGAAAAGATTTGAATTTACGTGTAATATTATTTTATTGAAGAATGCGTGGTTAAAATGATGTTAAATCACTATTTAAGAATATATTTTTTTGAAAGAATGTCTGTTTAACATGGCCTAAATGTTAGTTCTCAGAGAAAGAGATAAAGGAGAAAATGGATTTAAATGGGGAAAAAGGGGAATAATAACGAGAATACCCATAACTTAATTAAGAAAATGGATAAAAATGACCTTCTGCTCAATCAATGATGTAATTAAGGCTATAAACGTCAAAAATGAAAAGTATGGACATTTTTCACAATAATAGTGAAAGGTCGAGACATTATGTTCTAATTACTCTTCAAAATATATAAATCATAACAGACAAGGTTAAGTGTCCCATATAAGCAAAAAAATTTAAAAGAATTTTTTTTTTATTTTTAAAAAATTTCAATTTTTTCTGTGTTTCTCATATTTAATAAAGTAATTAAAAAAATTCACACAATCGCGGAAAAGAAATAATAAAAACTCAATGTTTTCCTGAATACATCCAAACTTAAATATTATTTGTTCTCAAATAAAACTATAAGCCATCTCAA